ATGAAACATTAAAATTTGCCTTGGGCCTGGAAACACTTAATAACGCTTATCTCAACTTCAAAATCTATTATGTTACTTTTATTGGAACGAAATCTGTTCTAGCATATTGATTAGTAAGCTATAAAATGTTACAATGATCTTGAATAGCAAATTGTAAAGTATATTAGATGATTTCAATTTGTATAACTTAAATTTTTCTTATTGGAAACTTAGGGCCCATTTGTCTTATCCTTAAAAAGTAATTTTTAAAGGAGAAATTATGTGGCTAAACAAACATATATTACTAGTTAATTAGCTAACTTAACTATAGTTTGAATTAATTACACTCACAACCTCTATTTAGCTTTAATTACATGCGCCTCTATCTCTCTTCCTCTCTTCTCTCTTATACATATACAAATACATATTATACATATACAAATTATATATATACAATTATATGACAGATATACAAATACAATTCGCCTCTCTCCACTGTCTGTCCTCTCTCGCTCGCCTCTCTCATCCCTCTCCCAATCTCACTCACCTCTCTCCTCCCTCTCCCATTCTCACTCACCAAATATACAAATACATATGTATACAGTTACATACAAAATGATATACATATACAATTCAACAAATATACAAATACAATTTACCTCTCTCCACTCTCTGTCCTCTCTCCTCCCTCTCCCAATCGCCCTCGTCTCTTTCCTCCCTTTAAAATATAGCTACAAATCGTAATTATCAAATTATAGCTATGAAGTCTAATTAAGTTATTTTTAGTGGCTATTTGCGAAATTTCCTCTTTTTTAAAAGTAGTTTTTAGAAAATCAAACTTCAGTAACTTTTAAGTTAAAAAATAAAAAGTAAGAGTACCTACTTTTAACTTTTTAAAAATCGTTTTTAAAATATCGAAATATTCTTGGCGACTAAAAACTACTTTTAACCTAAGCCAAACACCCTCTGAATCTTAGTAGAGTAAGTTCTTGAGTCATATCATGATTAATTTATTTTCACTCGTGTACTTTAGCTTTTCATTTTTCCTTAATTTTGTTTTACACTACTATAAAATAGTGGGATGCATCTATATTCTTATCGTTTTTTTATGTTACATTAATTCATCACTTTTAAAATAATAAAAGTATTTAGAGATATAGTTTTTGCCAAAGTTTTATGATATTATAAAACAAATTTGAAAATCAATCGAATCGAACTGATACTAAAATAATCGTGATAATATTTAAATATTATAAAATAGAATAACTATAAAATTAATATTATATGAATTTAATAAAATAATCGATTGAAGCGTACCATTGACAAATCGAAAGTGAACGGAAGAAGAGCATAATTGTTGATATGGTTTCACACGCTCACTTACATACATATAATAAAGGCTCTCTTTAAAGAGAATTTGAAAAAGAAAAGAAAAGTGAAGTTGTCTACTTTACTTTAGTTTTACACTTCTCCAGGCACACCAAACACCTTTTGCCTCTATTTTTTTTTTTCATTGGGACTGTTTTTTATTTTTTTTTCTTTTCTTTTTTCAAAGAGGTATTTTTCGTTTCTATAATATTGGGAGTAGCAAAATGCTACTAGTATATGAAATGACAATTAGTACTTTTATTTATCATCAAATAATATGGTGCAGTGTATACAATATCAAATGATATGGTGCAGTTGAAGTGCGCAAAAGACCAACCTCAAACACACAATCATAAAAAAAAAGTGAGGAAATATAGAGTGTGTGCCTCTCAATAAAATAAGTACTAAAAAAGAAAACTAGAAACAAGAAAGAATGTTGGTTCTTTAGTGGTGACTCTCAATGAAGTACCTACTTTCAGCTTACTCTCTCTATACTCACTACTGCTACTCAGTACTGATTCCTTTCACACATACTGTGCCTGCAAACCCTGTCCAGGGACCCCCATTTTCCCTTTCCCCTTTCTCCTTCCTTCCTTAGTTATCTCTCACACAAACTCTAATCTTTTTCACCTCTACCTTACCTCCATGGCAGAATCAGTTCTTGAACCTTGTACAACCTCTTATTCCTTCAAAGTTTCAATCTTTATCCTATTCTTCTTGATTTTCCCTCTCTTGAACCCATTTTCATCTGCATTTCCTCTTTCTTTTGATACTAATGCAACTGAGGTTGTCAATCTTGAAACAGAAGAGGACATGGGTTTGCTTTTGTTCTTCAAGTTACAGTTTCAAGAAACCCCTTTACCAAGCTGGGATGTCAATGTTCCTCTATCAAACTGGACTGGTGTTACCCGGTCTAACCAGACCGGACGGGTCACTGGACTTAACCTCACAAGGTTTAACTTGTCAGGACAGGTTCATCCTTGTTTGTGTAATCTTACTTTTCTTGAAACCCTTGTGTTGTCTCATAATAGCTTTAACAATTCAATACCTTCTTGTTTATGGAAGTTGTGGAGCCTTAAGACCCTAGATCTTAGCTATAATATGTTTACTCTTCTTATTCCTAGTACATTTGCAACAACTATGAGTAAGTTAATTGAGCTTGACCTTAGTCATAACATGTTGAGTGGTGAAATCCCAATGTGGATAGGGAATGTCTCAATGTCACTTGAAAAACTTTACTTGGGGTTTAATAGTTTTCATGGGGATATACCTAAGAGCTTGTTGAATTTGATGTCTTTGAAGTATCTTGACTTGTCTCACAATAGTTTGATGGGAAATGTGGGTGATTTTAACCAAGAATTGGTCTCACTTAATCTTGAGTCTAATTTGTTATCGGGAACTTTGCCTTGTTTATATTCGTCAAGGGAATCACTTACACTTCTTAATTTAGCAAACAATTCGATTCTTGGAGGTATACCAACGTGTATCTCGAGTCTTGGGGGTTTGACACAGCTCAACTTGTCACATAATGAATTACAATATGGTATCTCGCCTAGACTGGTTTTTTCAGAGAGGTTATGTTTGTTGGACTTGAGTTATAATGAGCTATCAGGGAAGATTCCAAGTAGGATTGTTGAGGCATCAGACAAGTCTGGACTTCTACTTCTTGACCTGTCTCACAATCAGTTCTCTGGTAATATTCCTGTAACCATAACAGAATTGAAGAGCTTGCAAGCATTGTTTCTGTCTTATAATCTTCTTGTGGGCGAAATACCGGAAAGGATTGGTAATTTGACCTATCTACAGGTGATTGATCTCTCACATAACTTCCTCACTGGCTCAATTCCTTTGAACATCGTAGGATGTTTCCAACTACTGGCGCTGATACTAAACAGTAATAATCTTTCTGGGGAAATTCAGCCAGTGCTTGACGCGTTGGATAGTCTTAAGATATTTGATATAGGAAACAACAAGATTTCTGGTGAGATCCCACTGACATTGGCAGGCTGCAAGTCGTTGGAAGTTGTTGACTTGAGCTCTAACAATCTCTCAGGGTCTCTAAATGATGCAATAACCAAATGGTCGAACCTCAAATTCCTCTCCCTTGCTCGGAACAAGTTCAGTGGATCTCTGCCAAGTTGGTTGTTTACATTTCAGGCTATTCATACTCTGGATTTTTCTGGAAACAAGTTCTCTGGATATATACCAGATGGTAACTTTAACACTAGTCCAAATTTCTACAACGGCGACATTAGGAAAACCATTCTTGCAGTACCATCAATTTCAGCTCGAAGCCTGGATATCAAACTTTCGCTCATTGCTGATGAAACTAGTTTGAGCTTCAACTATAACCTGACAACCACAATTGGAATTGATCTGTCTGACAATTTGCTTCATGGTGAAATTCCAGAGGGTCTGTTCGGATTACATGGTTTGGAGTACCTTAATTTGTCATACAATTTTCTTAATGGTCCAGTTCCAGGGAGTTTAGGGAAGTTGCAGAAGCTAAAAGCCCTTGATTTATCACATAATTCTTTATCTGGCCACATCCCTGAAAACATTACTGTCCTCAGAAATTTGACAGTTTTAAATCTGTCATATAATTGTTTCTCTGGTGTTATTCCGACAAACCGAGGTTATTGGAAATTTCCTGGAGCATTTGCTGGGAATCCAGACTTATGTATGGAATCATCTGGTAATGTCTGTCAAAGAACTTTGCCTGTAGAGCCAGGGAAGAAATTTGAAGAGGAAATGGAAGAGGGACCATTATCAGTTTGGATTTTCTGTATAAGTGCTTTAGTTAGCTTCTATGTTGGCGTTGTCGTTTTATTTTGTTCATCTCGAACAAGAAGCTGTATTCTGCAAACAAAAAGTTTAGCAGGTTGAAAGTGATAAGTGATCACATTGTACAGCAACTTATGAATTGTATCATATAGCAAAACTGCTTCAAGCATATCTTGTTTACTAACCAGCCCTTTATTTTTTTTAACTAGTTAATAATGCTTCATGTTGATTTTAGTTAGTGGAATGTTATGTTTCAAGATGCCTCAGAACAGTTGAATATTGTTTTTCTGCTGTGTGATACTTTCAATGGAATAGTTTTTCTATGGCTTTATCTATTTGAGTTGCTACACCATCAAGAACATGGAGGGTCTATAACCACCAAACTTTTTTAGTATAACCATTTTACATCCAGAATGCATAGATCAATTAATTCAGATTCATGTTGTGTAAAGCCTGTTAAAGGGAAACCGGCTCCTTACCAAATCATCGGTCTTCAAGATTCATATTCCTACATTGCCTCAATATATTAAACAAACATAACCTTTTTTCGAGCTAGATTCCAAGCATGTGAATTATCTCATTATCAAATCGTTGGTCTTCAAGCATAAACTTATTATCTTCCTTTTGTAGTGCCATGGAATTTATTCCTTTCAAGTGCTGCAGAAAGAATTTGTCCTAATCCATGGAATAATTTGGTGGTAGTAGTGATTTAAGTAATAAAAAATTCTATGATGTATATGACAAAGTAGAAAGAAATAGATTCCTCACTATCAAGATGCTATCATGTTATACAATTTGGCAATAGAGGTCAAAGTTGCTATTGCAAAGCTGAAATAAGAACACAAATCATTTCTACATGATTCCTTAATATGAATTGCTTAGTATGTTACACAATTTACTTACTGTAAAGTAATCAATTCATTTCAACATGATACACCTTACTATCAAGTATCAAGTTGCTAGCACTAAAAATGATGGAGACTGGTTACAAAGATGAATGTGAAATAAATAAGAGGGAAGAACAAGAGTAAAATAAAACCAGAAACTTCTTCTATGACGTGCATATTCATGTAAGCAGGCTCAGCAAAATAAGAGCTGCAAGTGTGACTACTCTTTAGACATTGATCTCTCTTTTGTTGCTTTGACAAGGTCAGCCTTGAAGCACCAAGTTCAGCTGGTAGGTAAAATCAACCCTACGAGTATGTCTTGTATTTGTTTTGGCTGCAGAAGCTAATATCTAATAGGACCATCCAAACTCCCTGATGCAAACTGACAGACAATGAAACAAACAATGCTTTAAAATCTTCACCCAGAAGAGCTAAATAACCAGAAGAAAACATGTAAATTTTCCATGGAATGGATTTATCTCTATATTCATAAATATTCAAAGTGATTGAAATTTTCTCTCTATTACTTTATTAAAGCAGGGAAAGTTTCAAAAAGCCAACTTGAAATCAGAAAATCTGCAGTGTAATATCTCAATTAGACTTATCTAACTGAATTTAAATAGAGACTCATCCTACAACTAAACTACTTATTGTTCTAATAAATCAGTAGTGACAGAAGAGAATATTCAACAGTTACATATATGCTTGAAATTTCTGTTTAGTGAAATTTCAGTAATATTTAAAATGTCTACTTTCTACTACTCCTCTGTCCCCAAGTAAAATTACTTGTCCATTTTGACAAATCAAGAAAAGACAAATTCTTTTTACCTATTATACCCTCAATTAATTAACTTTGAAAAAGGTAGAAATTTTTTAAAATCTTAAATTTTTAATTCATCTACTTCATAATTAATAGGGGTAAAATGGTAAACTCACTATGATAATTATTATTTTCTTAATAGGTGTGTCAATTCAAAAGTGGACAAGTAATTAGGGATAGAGGTGAGTACTTTGATAGAGACAATGCTTGTATAGTTTCTAAATATCGAGATTTTAATTTAAAGAAAATTAGGATTAATTCATAAACAGAAGGTTGATTCAGATGCCACGGTAAGTTATATCTGGTAAGACCTTTACCTGCACCGCGCGTTTACGCCCGACCAATGAATGCAAGATATGTGTCTTTCATAAACAAAAAGTTATAACTTAACCATGATAAAGTGATATGCATTCTTACTTTAATATTTAGTTAACTAAGGTTAAAATGATTGAGTGGAGGTAAACACTTGGTGCAGGTAAGCATTTACTGTTGTATCCTACTCCTTGCTTGTAACATAAGAAATTAACATTTCAGTTTTACAGAAACGAAACGTCGAAACCTAACCATGACCATCATTACCTGCCGAACAATAGGATTAGCTGATGTGGAGAATTCATGAGTCATTCCCTGCCAGACGACCTTACCTTCATAAAGAAATATTAGCCTGCACAGAAGGAACCTCAAACTTTACAATGGTTTGTAAGATAAGCAACATAATCATGTTTAAAAACAAGAAGAATCAGAACCTGTCAACAGCTCTTTTAATAGTACTGTGTTGATGTGTGACAACAACATATGATGCAATCTTCCCAGGTTTCCCAAGTGCATCCTCGCCTGCCACGTGAACCGAGCGAATGAGATCTTCTACAACGGTTGATGCAATCGGATCAAGTCCAGCTGTTGGTTCATCATACAAGAGCACCTACTCAGCAATGCATATAACTGAGATTACTTGGTTAATCATGCAGTAAATATATTCCTAAAGTATTATTTATTTCCTATCAGACTGAAAACACGAGGGAACCACTGTAACATCAAAATTTGCCAATGAAAAAGAAAGAAGATATGTAAAACTACAGCGACATGGTTTTTCATCAAAAACAAAAAATGGTTATATAGGGTATTCATGTGACATCATGAAGAAAGTAAAACACAACTTAAATAAACAGCATCGCTTGATATCAAGTTATTCCATCAGGGAGTACCGGAAACAAATTCCATGAGGAGACATTGAGCACACCATATACTTCCAAGTACTTGTTTTTAAAGGACACAATCACCAATGCATTGCCCTTAGTTCTATTAGCTATATTGCGTTAACAATATGTATTCAGGCTAATCTTAGATGGAGAGACAGAAGCAGATCATAGAACAGGTACAACATATTAGTCCATCGCTTATGATTTTCACCCTGAAAGAATTTTATGTGAGAATATGTGTGCGCACACCTTTTTTGATAAGTAAATTTCTGTCAAAGATATTGAAATGTGATACATTGACAAGCTCAGTAAGAACTGTTAAGGAACACACATGAATGGAAATTCCTTTCGACATATAGCAAGAAGGCTAAGAGACTCTATATTTTGAGAAATACTAGAACTTTGGATTACCAAGAGAGAACTTCATCAGACAACTTACTAAAATGGTTAAAGAAATGGAACTTACTAAAACATATAGTTTTCGTAGTTTCTACTTTGTGAAGTAAAAGATATTGTACTGTCAATCTGAAAGTCAGATAGTTTTCACAAAACATGTTTTTTTGTCCCCTCTACATATTTTCCAACATACTGTAACCTCAGAAAATCTCACCTTCCTCTGCTACAAACACTCATACAGTCACACTATCCTTGGCTTCTCCTTCTCACTTCACTTCTCCATCACCTTCTATAACTATGAACACATTATGTGCTCTCATTTCGTATTCTTGAATTAATTTTTACTCCCCGACCCTGTGCTATGTAGGTGGTTGATTTGAAGCATATATCATAAATTCAAATAAAGAAGTCCAACTATTAAGCGGTTAATTTGGCTGCTGCACATAGTTTGTATCAATCTGAATTAATAATGATGAACCTTTTATAGAAATTACAGAAAAGGGGCTAAAATACCCTTGGACTATTCTAATTGGTACAAAACTACCCTCCATCTACCTTTTCGCCCCCAAATACCACCGACGCCAACCTTTTGGCCCTACTATGCCCTTATTTTCAACGCGCCAAATTTTAAACTCATAACCTACACAAGTGTAGAATCAAGGGGTGAGTACCAAACAACACGATATTCAATAAGTAAATGGTTAACTCAAAGTAAAGCAATATAGAATACAGGTACTCCAACCAAACCTACACAACTACAATCTGCCCAACCTGACAGTTCACATTCCATATAGCATGTACAACAACACTCCAACATATACAAATCACCAATACATAGTATCATATTCATCAATCACAATAGGTGCTCACAAATTGTAATGATGTGCAATTATAGTGATGCATGTATGTCCTAACGATACACATCATACTTAGACTCAAGCTGGAACCCATGGGGGACTTACAAGGTCCATGTATCCGTCGAAACCATTTCCCTTCGGCGTAATCATCAATAGATCTCATCACAGCGTTTTCGAACCAATCAAATAGGCATGTTCACATAAATAATGATGAGATGACACTTTCAATCCATAACAACACAATCACGATACATTGTCAATAAAACCGTTCAAACCATCCACAACACATCAATATACCATCAAGTTACCTTTTATCATTAGAGTCATTCAATATGAACATGTGACAACAATTATTAAATCCTTCACCAAATCCCATTACTCCCCAACACACACAATAAGGAAATACGAAATTCTATATGCTTAACAAAGGTCAAGAAGTCTACTTGCCTCAAGAAATCACTCTGGTACTTGAGTTTTCCCTTTCTGGTTTCCAAATCAACATAATCTAATCAAATAAAGAATTCGAAACTACTAACATCCATATCAAAGGTTTTGGAAAACGAGGCCAAACTGACCCAATTCCAAGAACTAAGGTTAAATCTGAAAATTATTGTAAAATCAAAAATTGGAAATCAATAGTGAAAACCACACCAAAAATAGAGTTGAAATCAATCTTAAATCACTATTTTATACAAGCTTTAAGCTCTTGGAAACCTCCAAACTTTGAAGTTCAAAATCCCTACTTTGATGTTTAAAATCTTGAATAATAAAGATTAAGGGTCACAATACTTATCCAAATATTTCATCTCAAAAAATCACCTTGAAATCACCTCCACCAAGCTTCTAGGGTTCAAAAATGGAAGAAATCACAATTTTGAGAAAACATTTTGCCTGAGTAACATTTGCTCATCGTGATCACACCCCCAAAGTCTCGCAATGAGTAAAACTAGTCAACTCATTAAATTGATCATCGCGACCGCGACATAGGGCCACACGATCGCGATGATCAGAACACTATATTTACACGATTGCGATGAGCAAATGTTACCTGGGCAGAATGTTTCTCAAAATCGTGATTTCTTCCATTTTTGAACCCTAGAAGCTTGGTAGAGGCAATTTCAAGGTGATTTTTCGAGATAAATATTTGGCTAAGTATTTGTGACCCTAAATCTTTATTATTCATGATTTTAAACATCAAAGTTTGGAGGTTTTCAAGAGCTTAAAGCTTGGATAACATAGTGATTTAAGATTGATTTCAACTCCGTTTTTGGTGTGGTCTTCACTATTGATTTCTAAATTCTTTGGGTAACATGATTTTACAAGAATTTTCAAATTTAACCTTAGTTTTCGGAAATGGGTTTTTGGGTCATTTTAGCCCAATTTTCCAAAATCGTGGATATGGGTGTTATTAGTTTCAAATTCCTATTGTGATTCCTTATTTGATTAGATTGTGTTGATTTGGAAACCCGGTGAAAAGGAAAAGCTCAAGTACCAAAGTGATTGTTTGATTTCTTGAGGCAAGTGGACTTCTTGACCCTTTGTCAAGCATATAGAATCTTGTATTCCTTATTGTGTGTGTTGGGGAGTGATGAGAATTGGTGAAGGGTTTGATATTTGTCGTCACATGTTTATATTGAGTGATTTTAATGATGAAAAGGGGAAATAAAAAAGCAACTTGCTGATATACTAATGTGTGATGTGTCGTGGATGATTTGAAAGGTTATATTGATTCATTATTAATGATGTATCATGATAATGTTGATATGGATTGTGTATTGATATATAAATCATCATATTCTCATGATTTGTGTGAACATGCCTATTTGCATTAGTTCTGGAACACTGTGATCAGATCTATTGTGATGATTTTACCGAGGGGAAATGGTTCCGGTGGATACATGGACCTTGTGAGTCCCCCATGGGTCCTGACTTGAGTCTCAATGGGTGTGTATCATTAGGATAGGCATGCATCACTATATTTGACATCGCATTTCATTGCATTGCACACCATTTCCATTGTGAACCTTGTGAGTGCTTGTTATGGACTTGTGGTTGATGAATATGAAATAACGTATTGATGTCCTGCTTATGTTGAAGTGTTATTATACATGCTATGCGCTGTATAAACTGTGAACTATTAAGTTAGGCTGATTTTGTGCAGGTTGTAGTTGTGGAGGTTCGGTTGGAGTGTGGGGAGTACTCGTGTTTTGTATTGCTTTACTTAGAGTTAGTTGTTTGCTTGTTGAGTACCGTGTTGTTTGGTACTCACTCCTTTGCTTCTACACTTGTGTTGGTTACGAGCCTGGGTCATCGTGATTACACCTTCTCTTTTACATTCAAGACTTACTTCAGAGAGTTGCGAGGTAGCTGCTTATCATCTCGACAAACTCCTCTTACTCTTTTATTATGTTCTTGTTCTATTCTAGAAAATAAAGACATTTAGTCTTGTACTTCTTGAATCTATTGTAATACTTAGAGGCTTATACTTGTGACAACCAAATTTTGGGGTTACAATTGAGTTATGTTATGTTATCCGCATTATTGAAAATATGTTAGCCTTTTATTCTGTTTTACTTCCGCATTTCTCTTAAGTTGGGGTTTAGGTTGACTTTTCTTGGTGGGATAAGACAAGTGTCATCACGCCGTTTTTGGGTCGTGACAAGATGTTCTTCCAGCTTCGATAAACCAAGAATCTATTTCGATTTTACCCTCTCCATGTATGAACAAGTTTTCTGCATCAAATAGTGAAAAAGGCAGGTCGAATAGTGAAGCCGGATCCGGGTAATAGGTGGGATTTTTAATTAATGTAAGTTAATTATAGGGTGACCAATAGATAAGCAACACATCACAAATGAAGTTACTAATTGGGATTAAAATTTGGGGCGTTAAAAATAAGGGTATAGTAGGACATGAAGGTTGACGTCAGGGGTATTTGGGGTGGAAAGGATGTTGGAGGGTAGTTTTGTATCAATTCAAATAGTCCAAGGGTAATTTAGGCCTTTTCCCTAGAAATCAGGATGCTAAATGATATTGATAAAGCTGAACTTGACTACAACTTTCTTTTCGAATAGTCCACTCTGTTACTATCCTAGAAGACTCAATTCCTAAAGCAGTCCAGCTGACTCATCCATCCATCATTATCTGGACATTGTTAAAAAGAATTTCTCAACTTTGAATATAAGGAGGCTGATTTCCAGGCTTAGAAGAGATAGTGGTCTATCAAGCATGCTACAATTAAATTGTTCAGTGCACCGAAAAGTTAAAAGACAGAAAAACATTACTTATTGGGAAAAGGAAATACTAGAGTCAATTACACATACAATCCCCATTCGGATGAAGTTCCAAGTATAGAATAAAACTTCCTTCTTCCAAATCCGTGTAACAAATCGGATATATTTTCTCCTTATGCATTAACCTATTCTCTTGTATAGTAAAATTATCTCTCTTATTTCAGTGGATATGCATCAAAATCCTATAATCCCCCATATAACTTCTTCAAATAATTTCCTTATACTTCCAAAGAAAAAACAAAATAAAAAGAGGAGGCTTACATAAGATCAAAACAGACGACTTTTGCTTGGTTACTGTTAAAGAATGACAAAAGTCCCACATCGGTGATTAATGAGATGGTGAACTCCTTATAAGATTTGGGCAATCCTCCTCCCTTTGAGCTAGCTTTTGGGGTGTGAGTTAGGCCTAAGACCTAATCTAACATGGTATCAGAGCAGGGCCCGTCTCACGGGGACCCCAAAATCAAAAATTGCCCACGCACCAGATGCTAAGCACTGGGCGTGAGGTGGGGTGTTAAAGAATGACAAAAGTCCCACATCGGTGATTAATGAGATGATGAACTCCTTATAAGGTTTGGGCAATCCTCCTCCCTTTGAGCTAGCTTTTGGGGTGTGAGTTAGGCCTAAGACCTAATCTAACAGTTACTTTGTAGCTTTTAGTTCCAATTTTTATTTTGTTTGTGCAAGTATATTATTTAAAGAATACAAATAACATGAAAGGAATAAAGTCACGGCTCTAATGACTTTAGAAAAACAAGAAGGTACTCTGGTATAACACCTAAAAAAGCAAAATTCATACATAATGGGCAAATATTCTGAATATGCATATTGCAACGGGATTCTTATGAACAAAATATGAAAGAAAAGATGTATATGTAGCATTTGAAACCATATGGGAGATATGTGTTAGACCTACACCCCAAAACTTAAGCGTAGTATTCTTAACACGGTAAAACAAAACAAAACAACCAACAAAGAAAAGACCCAAAAGAAGACATAGAGAACTGCACTTTGAGAGAATGTGAGCACTTCTTACTTGTCACTATATAAAGAAATGAATATACAAACTGTGCATCAACACATCAACATAGTCAGGATATGTGCCACAACCCCTTTTTGCATCACAGATTTTTGTAAAACATTTGAAGTTTTTTATTAAAAAACATAGAGCCCTGCATCTTTGAGCAAACATGAACACTTCTTAATTTTCATTCCAGGAAAGGTATGAATATACGACTGTGCGTCAATACATATACCAGGATCAGGATACATCATAACTCTTTTGCATTACAGATTTTTGTAAAACATCGACTGATTGTTTAATAAAGAAGCTATCAATAAATATAACAACATCAATGACACCTCAATCCCTAACTAGTTGGGTTTGGCTATATGAATCCTCACTAACCATGTCATTCCATTTAGACTTGTGGAGATACAAAATCTGTACTGCCAACAGGTACGGCAGAAAACACTTATTGACAGTTTGACACTGTACAATCAGCAGTATTTGCAGGTATCCTTTCCTTTTGGTTGCAAATTGCACTCATATCATCTTTATGGAGTAGAATTCATCAAGTCAAATTATCATTAAACTTGCCTGGAAGATCAGATGTGAACTTAGTTTTTCTTTTTCACTAGTATGACTATGAACAATAGCAATTGGACATCCAACCTTTTACTCTAACAATACAAACAGAGTCCAAAGAGTAATTGTGAACTCATCTTAAACCAACTGCTCATAGTAAATGCTCTCCTGATTACAGAAGAATGGGAGCACCTCAAGTTCATAAACATCACATCCCTTGGACAATTAATTCAGTAGTGCTATATCCACATAAGTTATCCATTTTCTCTTTTCTCGTGTCATTTAGACCAACTTTAAGACTGAAGGGAAGTGGATAAATCCTTCATTTGAAAATATTTTTACCAATTCAGGTTCACAGAGCAAGCATGAAGTAAAAAATAGTTAACTAGATTACAGCAATCCATGTAGCAGAATTACAAATGCTAGCCAAAACGAACTGATGACCATGTCATGAAGCACCTGTAACATACCTCTGGCTCTAGTACGTCTTTGGTGGTATCAAAAATTATAGAACGAGCTAGAGCAACTCTTTTCTTCATACCACCAGACAATTCAGAGGGTAATCGGTCTTCAACTTCCTGCATAGAAATAAAACTGAAAATTGGCATCTACGGAAAAACAATCATCATAAACAAATTACTATAATGATGAATCCTCTATTCCCTCCTTTAATTCACTCTACCCAAAGAACAGAAGAGCAAACAGCAAGGCATTTCCCTACTGCGAGAGAGAGAGAGGGAGATCCTGAAGTGATAATGCAAATAGCAATTTCAAAGTTAAACTATTCACTGACACACTATGTTGGAAACCCAGATACATTTATTAATGAAAAAAAAATAGACATTGTTATCATAAATATGTCCATCATTGCACATACCTTCAAACCAACAGCAGCTAAAGTTTCGGTTACAAGCTGTGCAATTTGATCCTCTGGCATAGCTGAATTCTCATATCTAGAATTCCAAAGAGAAGAAGATCCAGTTAATCTACGTATAAACTGGATTTTCTTAATTTTAATCAGTATAGCTAACAGAAAAACTTCAGAATTCAGTAGAGCTGAGAATATCTTTTCTTTTTGGGATAATTAAAGCGTTGAGAGTATCTTACAGCAAGAAACCAACATTTTCACGAACAGTTAATGAATCAAAAAGCGCAGCACTCTGAAACACCTGTTATGGGGATGGATATGTTCATAAGATTACAAAAATATTCAAGAAGCATCTCCATAGAACAACTTTACTGGACAACATTAAAAGAGCTCAGAACATGTAACTTACTAAGCCAATCCTAAGCCCAGAAATTTCCTCATCACTCACTAATCCATTACGCAGTTTACCACGGATAAAGACTTCCCCCTGCATTCAATGAAGTCTATTAGCAGAGATAGATAACGGTATCAAAATTCAAAATTTTCAGAAATCACACAGCTGTATTTTGAGACAAATACTCAAGCCACAAGAGAAACATAATGCACACATACTTTATCAGGAGCAAGTAGGCCAGCCATTATCTTTAAGATTGTTGATTTCCCTGTGCCAGAAGGCCCAATAATTCCAACAGCCTCACCATGTCTGATCTGTAACAAAGGGTAAGAGTGGTGATTAAAAGTTGTCAGCACTTCCACCAAATGCAAAGGACGAGAAATCATGAACATAGAACCTAACACAGGTACGGAAATTAGAGTAATCTATAGCCAACCATCTTTCTTTCCTCAAGGGAAGTTTCCTAACCTCTACCTTTATTGCTCTTTCAATCATAATCCATAGAACTTCTAACAGAAAAATTAGGAAGTACCCCAAATTGCAAGACCCAATAGCTCAAACAAATAGAGAGTTAAAATAATTAACTTCACCCTGGGGAACTTGTACTTCTCACAAACAATTCATGATGAATCTACTGGTTTATAGCACATATGTGTTGCACATCCTTATAAGATAGATCTCTACCTCAAGCAAACCTATGCAAATCTTATCAGTAAGGCAAAGATTGCATTCAAAACAGTTTCTAACAACATAAGATGGATTTGCATCAGGCACAAGTAAGAGAGAAAACAATATCAGACTAGCAAACAAAGGAAGAAAAAGAACCTTTCGACCAACCTAAGAAGTGGGAAGCAAGGCAAGTAGCATTCGTGCAGGGGGAATGTGTTCTAGCTATTTAGTGTCAAAGCATAGAGAAAATTATTCATTATATCAACTTTCCCATCATAAGATATAAGTAGGAAATGATTCACTACAACCAATCATTGTTTGCATGAAAACCCCCGATATAATATCAGTCGCTGAAGTAGAATAGACCGGAATTTAAATGCCCAAAGTGCATACAAGCAGTTGCAAAAGGAAATAAATGAAAGTTCACCTTTAAGCTCACACCTCTTAAGATATGCTTGTCGCCAAATGACTTGCACACATTTCTACACTCAATAAGCACATCTGAGTCACTCTTAGGCTCTCTCAACAAGCTCACATTCTCCGATTTAACAGATTCCTGCTATTCAAACAAGACGAAGAGCAAAATGAAGGTAGATACAATAAACTAGGCAGGATTCAAATGTTTTCACCATCTGACAAATGCAAAGCAACTCATCTATGTCCTAAAAAAAAAAACATATCCAGAAGACAACCATTTATCTGGAAAAAAAATTCTAGCAGTAAAGTTTTCGCAAAGGTTCCTCATTGATAATGGTGTACTAAAAAGTTTCATCTAATGAGATTCCAACAAAGCCGCAAGCAGTACATATTTACAAGTACCAAAATTTAATAGGTATCCTAGAAGAGTTCACCAAAACGGAAAACCCAAAACTACATGCTTCTTTGGTTCCTTTAATGTTATTATGCCATAGGCTCGACCACTTGAGCCAATCTTAGATTGGTAACTCTCTCAAGTGCAGCGGAGATCACCAACCTAGGTCATGGACCTTCTTGATCACTCATTGACCCTATCCAGGTAAGTAAAGTGTGCTCCATGGTAGGACTGTCTTTGGGCATGAAATTAACTCTGACACTCTAGTGGAAGAGGTTTTGACTTAGAGTATCTAATAAAACAGATACTATTAGCAACCTTTGCAATGAGAAATCAAACCTTAGCACTGTTTGAGCACCCATGGCATATCCCAACTCAACCAGTTACAATAAGAATCCCTTATCTTTATTTGGAACTGTCCCAGACCAATGTAGAAGTCCATCCACATTCCCCTTAGCTCACCATTGCTCAGTATGTATTTTGCTTACTCAGAGTTCTTGACTTGGCCTTCTACTATTTCTCTTCTGCTTCTTGTTCTCTCTCTCCAGCTGGTCTTATTTCGGTGCTTAGCTTTTTAAGATTTAGTGAGATACCCCACTAGATATGGATATTTTCAACTTTTTCTGGAATATTACTCCGGAAAACTGTTTGGACATAGAATTGTTACAAATACTTTCTCAGAATGCGAAACTCCAAAAAGTTTGTTTTCACAACTTTCACTCTAAATCACTGACAAAAATTCAAAAACAATTTCAATTTGTATTCATGTCCAAACACAACTACAATTTTCAAATACCATTTTCAACTTCTTTTTCCAAATTTCACCAATGTATATGTCCAAACACCCACTAAATTATGAAGAGCGACATTCTTTTTGTAACATACTAACAAAGGAAGTCAGACAAGCAAATTGAAATGGAAGGCGCACGTTGATTTGTCCATGAGATCAGCAAAATGTGATAATATTTCTGATTAGTGTTTTCTTAATAGATAATCAAAATTTTGAAATAGTATTTCTGATTAGTATTTAAAAGTAGTAGTGGTGAAAATTAGGGGAAAATGTATTACATCCAATATGAAGGTAGTCTTTCTGCATTTGATTGAAAAAAAAAATTCCTATGTTTAAGACAACAAATGCTGGGAATAGCTCACAAAGAAGGAACTTTCACCAAATGGAGTCCGAAAGAGATGTGTGCCAACAAGACATTAGCATTATGGAACCATTAACATGAAAAGATAGACATTTCTACTTTGGCACTCCAACTTTTACTACATTCTCAATACTCGACCACCTTGCCTAAGAGAACCAAAAAATCTACCACGCACACAGTGATTTCAGTAACTACCTCAATCCTACATGATTCATGAAGCTCTGCCACATACTACTAGTACTGTAGCTATCCCAATTCATATGGCATTCTTTCTATTTTGGATGGCCTAAGATATACTACGCCATTCTATTTTTATAAAAGTTCCATAACTCTCAAGCATTCAAAATCATTTAACTATTCAAATTTTCACTTTGATGTGATATTTTATATCAAACTAAATTATGAATCATTATTTTCTTCTTCTATAGCTAATACAATTGAGCCAGGGGTTTATTGAAAATCACCTCTGAGGTAGAGGTAAGGTCTGCGTATACATTAACCTCCCCAAACACCATTGCGTGGGACTACACTGGGTATATTGTTGTTGTTGCTATAGCTAATGCAATTATAAAAATCCAATTGTACATCCTAAGCTTTTTATTCCATCAAATACCACAATATAAAATGGAATGAATAGGATACTACAAAGAGAAAGCAATGGAAAATTGGGCTAGCCTCTAGCATATGCAAAAGAAACACATACGTGGATTACAAAACAGAACCCAAAATAAAAAATCTGGATAATTGGACGACCCAAAATCAATTCATTATGGTCTTACATTGAATTTTGTATTGGGAACCCGATCAGAATCAGCAGCTTTGTAGTCCCGAGGGGGTGCAACACAAGCACAAACAGTCCATTTATCCTTCCTATTCGTCAGGGAACGCAGCAATAATGGCTTTCCTAAATCAAAATTGGGAAAAAATGTTTTCATGTAGCTAGAAGAAGAAGAAGAGGCGACACTGTTGCTTTTGCAAATGCTGACAGCAGGTGACATAACAGAACCCACAAAAGAAACCATTGAGTTTCGCCAAACAAAACCCACTTTGGAGAATTTAAGATGGGAAATTCTGGCGCTGACCCAGATCGAATTTGGACTCAAGAACCATGAAATAGATCGAATTTCAATGGAGAAATGATATTGGTCACTCTCAATGAAAAGGAAGACAGGACATGTAGTGGGTTGAGAAGCACTGTAGAATGTTGGGAGGAAGAAGGCCGAAAGCTCCTCACGCATACGTGGGGCGGGGTGGGGTGGCGTGGGGTGGGGTGGGTTGGGTTGGGTTGCGTGGGTGTGTGTGGGTGTTACTAAAAACCCAACTATACCAAAAATGAAAGGCATAAGACTTAAATATGTCATCGAATATTAATAAAAGACTCATTTATATTATTCGTTAAAAGTTTAGCTCATCTACATTATTTTTGTTTGAGAAAAGTTCTTTCATATTATTATTTGTTAACTGAAATGATATAGATAAACCAATTTTGTAATGGATGACATAGTTAAGCCTTTTCTCAAAAATTGATGGCATATATGAACATTTTTCCTTTTAAAAAATTGATAGAATTAATGACGTGATCGAATCATAATTGACTATGTGTAAAAAATAATTTTGCAAAATCAAAAATATTTTTTAGTTAAAAAATAATGGCATGGATGAGCATTTTCTCAAACAACAATGACATAGATGAACCAAACGTTTAACGGATGACATAAATGAGCTCTTTCTCAAACTTCGATGGCATATTTGAGCATTTTCCAAAAAATAAAATTATATGTATGTGTGTATATATATATATATCATAAAAAAAGATTATAATTTTATTGTCCATATTAATTTTTTGCTTTCCTTACATCTTCATTTTTGTGTATGGAAAAGCTCTCAAGAGGGATAGACCTCATTGGTATCTCCATGTTTGGGCCAAAAATCTCCCACAGTTTCTTCGCAGATGATTTTTACCTTATTCACTAGGGTAAATAAAATACTACCGAACCATCAACAACATCCTTGAAATGTTCTGCAAAGCCCCTAGTCGAAAGTTCAATCTAGCCAAATTAAAAGTCATCTTCTCGTAGAACTGCACCCTTGAGAACAAGGCCATGTGCTCTGACATCCTCAATATTAAGGCTAGCAATTCTTTTGGCAGGTACTCGGGCTTCCCCATTTTTCATTCTAGACTTGTCCATGGTGATTTCCAATACATCAACGATAACATGCAAGCTAAGTTTAGTGGATGGGAAACCAACTTTCTTAATATGACTAGAAGAGTTATTCTTGCAAAAGCTTCACTAGGAAACATCCCCTTCCATGCCATGCAATATAAACAGCTCCCTGCAAAGACCCTCAACACCATCAATAAAATCTGAAGGAATTTTGTTAGGGGAACAACCTCTGATAAGAAAAGAATGCACCTATAGGTTGGAATATCATCACTAAGGGTAAAATGATAGGGAATTAGTTCTTCATAAGAGTGAGGTTAAAAATAAAGTTCTTCTTACTAGTATGGAGAATGTATAAGAGTCCACACCACTATGGACTAAGGTCCTCCACTACAAACCTTTCCATAATGAGAATTTCACCTATGACATGAACACTGTTTTTAGGATTTGGAATGACATAAGAAATGGCTAGGAGGCATGCTTAAAGGGATCTCGATGGGTGGTGAATAATGGAAGTAATGTAAAGTTCTTTGAGGATAATTGGATTCTTGGGTCGAGATCCATTAGGCAACACATCTTTAGGCTTTTTAATAGAGAGGACCAATCTACAAAAGTGAACTATGCTTCAACAATGGGACCTGAAACCTTCGCACCCTTTTTATGACCTTTCTTAAGGATTTCCACAATAAAATAACTAATAGTTTTATCCCCTCAACTACAAATAAGGAGGATACTCTCATTTATAATATTGCTAATAATGGCATGTTCACAGTCAAAAGTGCTTACAACCTCGTCGATGCCATGAACAACACTGACACTAAAGCTACAAATACCAAGGATCAAAGTACTAACTTCTCTTGAACTTAGAGGATAGAAGTACCAAATAAAATTAAAACCTTCATCTGGTTGCTCATTCATGATCTATTACCTACTAGCCAACATCCCCACAACATTGGTATTAATGTGGACCAAATTTGTAAATTCTATGAGAGTGGGATTGAAAATATAGACAACATTTTTTTCACTGCATAGGGCCGCCACCTCCTTTCGGCAAAAAATTGTCAATGCCAACAACTCCATTGCGAGTTTTGACTCAACTAGGATTAATGCAAGGAATTGGAAAGACACTTGGGATGTTATCAAAGGCAAGGACTTCAACAAATGGATATCATAGGGAAATATCAACTCTTTTTGCATACGGAGTCTTTGGATTAACAGTAAGGACAACATGCTTAACAATAAAAAGTAGCATGTCCAGATTGAACACGTTATTAAACAAACTACTGAATTCAACCTCATTATTGCTAAAACAAAGATGCCAAGAAACATCAAGATGGTTGTCCATATTAAATATAACCCCTCAGCACATGAGCTCTCAAGCTTAACATAAATGGAGTTGTTACTCTAGACCCCGAAAAAAGGGGCATAGGTGCGGTGTTTCAAGACCACACGGGTAAATAGGTGAAAAGGCTTCACCAAAACTTGTGCCCACACTACCACAATTCAAGCAGAATTGCTAGTTATCCTTCACGGATTAAGAACAACACTTATGTGGAAAATCCAACCACCTTAGAAGTTAACTCTGACCACCCAAGTCTCTAGAAGACAATCTATTTCAAATTCAGTTTCTCATTGGGAGTGACTCCGGAAAGATCTTCGGGAAAGACTTTTGGAAATTCATTCAACACTGAAACTGGCCGAAATGTTGGGGCCTTGGACCTATCCTTGACCCAAAACTAGATGACAAATGCAATCATTAGAAATCATTTTCCTGGCCTTAAGGTAAGAGACCGACCTAAGGATGCTGAATTACTACCCTCCCATTCTATGACAAATTTATTGGGAACTAAAACTTAATGACTCTAGTTCTATAGTCGACCGAGACATAATAAGAGTATAATCAGTCCATGCCAATAATGATATCGAAATCAAGTATATCTAACTAAAAGGTGGTTTTCTAAGAAAAAAAACTAAGGCTGACAATTTTCGTCCATTTAGCTAAGAATGATTTACCGACTTGAGTAGAGACTAAGAAGGTTCTAATAAGATCTCGGGACTAACATCGAAGTTCACAACAATTTAAGGAGTCACGAAGGAAAGTGTGGCTCTTTGATCTAATAATGCATAAACATCAATATGAAAGACATATAATATACCAATGACTACATCAGGGGAATCTTCATGATCCTTTAGAGTCTGCAAAACATCTAACTTGTTCTGGCGTTGATCGTCACACACACTGAATGAGGTACCCAATTGAGTCACGCGACTTGATGGAGCTATCAAAAGGTTGATCTGAGTCTCCTGGTGAACATGCTTTGCCACTTATTGGGGACACTAGGCACTCCCTTACTCTATGATCTGAATTTCCACATCCAAAACAACCACCACTACCAGCCATACACTCTCTTGGATGGTTCTTAACACACTTCTTACAAACTAAAAAAGACAACCAGTGACACTTCTATGGACTTAGAGCCTAGTGCTCTATCCTTATTCTCCTATCGGAATTTGGGTATTGCAACACTAGCAGAGGATGAGGCTAGACCTGAAAACTTTTACACTGCCTACCCTAGCCCTCTTACTCTCCCTCTCACCTTTCTTAACTTTCTCTTCATCAACTGACTGAGCATGAGTCATCAATCTAGATATGTTTATCTACTTGATCAACATAGCAGTCTTACACTCTTTTACCATAGTCTCTGTCACCATAAACAAACTTACTCATATTGGCCTTTGGATCAACCATCATAGCTGGAGCATACTTAGAAAGCTAAGTAAACTTAAGAGAATACTCTTTCATAGTCATATCTCTCTGCTTTAGATTAATAAATTATTGGACCTTGGCTTCTCTTAACTCAAGTGGAAAGAATCTATCCAAGAGTGCATCCACAAACTTGTCCTAGCCAGGCAGCCAGCCAGCCAGCCAACTAAACATGCATTAACACCCCATTTCATTTCATTGTTTGTACCAAATTTTAGTGGGTAAAGCATTTAAGTCTGAAATCTTAATTAGAGTGACACTTATAATCTAACTGATTTTCTCAATACCATCAATATACTCCTAAGGATCATTCTCTACTTTAGAACCATGAAACTCAAGATGATTCATTTGAGTAAAATTCTAGAATCTTGTTGCTATCATATTCTTATTTGGGTTGATTGGAGAAACAACTTAATGGTTGATCTGAGTGGTCATAGCTTAAGCTAGCACCCGAAAAGCATCCCTAAGACACTTGTTCGTTTAGAGAGTATGCTGGAGTTGGTGGTGCTTTCTGATGTAAATGCATCGAGCATGGATTAGATGTAGGTTAAATAGAGTTAATTAAACTCTATCTACTGAAAGCATGAAAGAAAAGAAGTATTTCCTAAAAAGTTTCATAACCTCTATTCATAATATGGTGCACTTCACACCAATAAATAAGACTCTACTTAACAAGGCTTTTAGACACCCTAGGACACTTTATATCTGATGCAACACTAAGTTTGTCACAATCTAAGCGTACCCACTAGTCATAAAATAATGTTAAGAGTCACAAGTGACCCCAAGCAACCCATGGTGATATATATATATATATACATACACACACACTATCTTAAAAGCATGAATTCCCTAACTTGAATGTTAAATTACTAGAATCCCCCCAACTTTAAACACCCAATTTAGTATATAATCTATAATTTATATTATATTATACTATATTTATTCGTTCTATATTATATTAAAAGCTGACTCCTTTTCACATTGATGAGTAATTACTTCTCCGAAGGGTTGTGACTTTTTCAACGAGTTATGACATTTCTGAATGATTGTTATTTTTCTGAAGGGTTGTGACTTATTTGATAAGACATGATAAACACATTTTCATACTATAATTTGTTGTTTATAAATAAAGGGATTTTCTCACATTTTTAATCTACGAAATTTGTAAATTTTCTATTCCTCTTTTTCTTAAAACAAGAAAGATTGTGAGAATTGTTCAATTATGCAATTACAATATTTTTTGTGGATAAATTATACAGATCAACAAAAATTAATGCAACAAGGAAAATGAAATAACTCAACTCCAAATGAGAAGAC